TGACTATGACATGACAGTAGCCTGTGCGTGACCTCAATCTAACATGAGTATTGACACTCAGATCCCTACAGAACGGCAGAAAAACGCGTTTGAAAAGAATGGCTTTCGAAATACCTTGAATATTTTAAAGGTCCCTCTTCGGAAAACCCCTGGACTTATATTGTCGAGACTATGACATGAAGATGGCCTGTCCGTTACCTCAAACTAACATGAGTATTGTCACTCAGATTCCTACAGATAGACAGGAATTTGCGTTTGAAAATATGACCTTTGGTTGACATTGAGAATTTTAAGAGCCTCTATTCGGAAAACCCATGGACTGATATTGTCGTGACTATGACATGACAGTGGCCTGTGTGTGACCTCAAACTGAAATGAGTATTGACACTCAGATCCCTACAAGTCGGAAGAAAAATGCATTTGAAAAGAATGACTTTCGAAATACCTTGAAAGATTTAAAGGCCTCTACTCGGAAAACCTCGGTACTTATATTGTCGTGTCGAGGGGTGTGGAGTCGGTACTAAAATCTCCGACTCCGACTCCTTCATAAAAGCTCAATATGTATTAATAAGGGTAACTAACTAACTAGATGGCTTACCGAACCCGATGATTCAACACCGAATTTACTAAAGCCCTCCACCGGACCCTGTCCTGGGCCAACAAAATCCAGTCTCCTTCAACTCCTATCTCCCATAGATCCCGTCTGACATTATCCTCCCATCTACGTCTAGGTCTCCCCAGTGGTCTCTTCCTCTCAGACTTCCCAACCAATACCCGGTGCACACCTCTTGTCCCATCTATGCACGCTACATGACCTGCCCGTATTAATAAGGGTAACCCTACTAAAATGGTAAATGGCACCATAATAAACTTCATCAGCACCACGTGAAACATCAGCCTTCTTCTTATAGCTTATTTTTAAATATACGTCTAATGGTTATTGCAGAATTCGATTGATTTGTAGACAGTTTGTATTTTTAAGGTACCTACAAAGCATTATTCCCACACTATGTGGCTCAATGGGTCGTTGAATCTCCCTAAGCGTGAGGCCGGCAGTGTCTCACACGGTATAGAAGTTGTTCTTAAGATTTTATATTGAGGTCGGATTCGGTACATTTTTACCGACTCCACCTAAAATTGTTTCGACTCCACAGCACTTATTTAAATAGAAGAGAACACAGTCAGGATTGAAGAAGTTAGACCCTCTAAGTCAGGGGTCTGCAAACTACAACCCTCGGGCCAAATCCGGCCCGCCGCCTCTTTTTGTACGGCCCGCGAGCTAAGAACGGATTTTACATATTTAAATTCTTTGAAATTTCAAAGTACGCGCTATAACGAAACAGCCGAGTTGAGTAGTTGAGAAAGACCGTATGTGGGATTTATACCTGTATTTGGCAGCACCTGCCTGTGTGAAAAGACATTTTCAAAGATGAGATATGTAAAATCTCAATACAGGTCAGCATTAACGGATGAACATATACAATCAAGTTTGATTATAGGGAGTACTGAATTTAAAACTCAGTTTGGTGAAATGTTATCTCATAACAGGCAATTCCATTCTTCTCATTAGTAGAGCTGTATTTCAAACAATTGTAGTCTACTTATTATTATTACGTTATATTTTTTTCAATAAATTTGTTAAAACTTGGTTTTTCTTGTTACATAAGTAGGCTTACCTACCCAAATATCCTCGATTTTGCCTCTTAGCTCGCAGAGCCTTAAATATTTACTATTTGGCCGTTTAGAAAAAATGTTTGCCGACCACTGTTCTAAATGACATATGAAAGCCCCCAAACAGAAAAGCGTAACAATAAGTAGACAGAGAAATTAAACTTTTGAACATTGTAAAGGGCACCAACGCCCCAAATTGTGGACAAAGAGCAAGAAACCCTCTACTATTAAAACCCCAGCAAAGTGGCACACAGGTTTGTTATAGTCAACAGTCCACAACTGATGCATAACAACTGAGTCGGGGAAAGTGGAAAACGTCCACTGGTAAGATCGAAATTGGCGTTAGGAAGATAATATTAAAATATTTATTAGAGAGGAAGGTTGTGAAAATTAAAGGTGGATGGAACTGGTTCAGGATCGTTTTCAATGGCGGGGTATGTTATTCGCGGTGTTGACCCATCGGATCCCGCTACCATCGCAGTGTTATGAGCATGTAGATGCATATAGACGCATAATGTATAGGCCTAGATACTTGATGCAAATAAGAATGAAGCAGAGTAAGATATATATTGCGTATTTCTTTTAAAAACAATATATATGAAATTGTAAATTATGCACAAACGCGACACCAGTCTCTTACTTCTGTGCGTAACAAAGTGATCTAGATCTGCAAAGGAGATTTCAAAGCTAGTTTCTTAATCTTCTCTAAGCTATGTATTTATAGGTGACGCGAGCAAAATCATATTCGAAAGATGGCGTTGTTCGAAACTGGATGAGCAGTATAAATGTAAATCGAAAAGTAATGCCACATCAGTATTCATATTCCGCGATCAATACGCCTTTAGTCTGTGTGACGGTTTTGTAAACAACCACAGTGACTCTTGTTTGGACAGAGTTGTATGCTCTGTTACAGTTAGACGGAGTTCATGAAAATGCCACATTAAACTGTATCATTACGTCGGAGAACTTGTTTTTAAGGGTCCAATTGATCTTCCTACCAGCAGAACAATAAAGTTCTACTCAAAAGTGGTGTTACCAGTTCGGCATGAAATGGAAAGTGACGTCTATAATGGCGGGGCGCTTCGGAGGAAACGCTAACCCCGATTTCACTTCCATTACTAGGCCACGGCGTACAGTCGACGGATCGTTAAACTAGCACACTTTCGATTGCAACCATCTCAGTGAAAACATTGCATAATATTTGTTTTTCTTGTGTTCTTTTTATTCTTTTTATGCAAGCACTCGGATGGAACACAGCAAAGAATGAGTTTCGTGCTGATGCGATGCTGTAATGGACCTACAAAGGCCTACATTCACAAGTGGAATCCATGGACATGTGTTGCTAGAGGCAAATTTAAATGTTCGAAATGTTTATGGAGTTTCAGGTCTATTAATAAGAATCTCTGAAGGCTATGTTATATTTTATAAATAAAACAAAATACACCAATTTAGACCTAACAGACAATAAACAACAAGAGAGTGGGGCAAATGTCTACAATGAGATCTTCATAATTTCAACTGCTGACAAATATTATAAGGACAATGAAATGAAAAACGACATAATAGACGGGATATTTCACACGAATAGGGAGTAAAGCGAGAAATACATACAAAATTTTACGTAGAAACCTGAAGGAAAAAAAATCGCTTGGGAGAGGAGAAAGCTACGAGTGGATGGTTGGATAATATTAAGACAGATCTTCAAGCAATAGAAAATGAGGTGAGTGCATTCGACTGGCTCAGAACAGTGATACGTAGTCTATAAATGCAATGGATGCAAACTGAGCACGCTAGGTTATTCATGTGGCGTAGAAGTCGGGACTGGCCCACAAATTAAGGGTTAATTACATGAACCGCAGCACACTCAACAAATGTGTAGAATCCTAGCAGGAAGTTTGTCTTACTAAACATGAACAGCACGGCGAGGTTTGCTTGTATGCCTGGCTTAATTTGGGAGAAATATGCACCAAGGCTTTTGTATAAACTGTGCATATTCAAACAGACGTCAGTTGGAGAGAAACGTACGCGGAACAGAGGACAGCGTAGGCAAGGTTCTGGGACAGAACCATCAATACACGGCTGGACGCGTGTCAAAAATCGTGCGTCCATACAAAACGTTAAAGGGCAAAAAGTGTTAGTTTTTCTCCATCTTTCTCAAACGTAACAAGAATTGCGTAACTTTCTGGCAGTTTTAAAATCTATAATCAAACTTATCCAAATATTCTGAAAATCATCTAAGACGCTTTTGATTTCCAGCTGTTCGTTTCCAGCACATCACTGACAGTCCGGTCTGATCTTAACTAAGGCCATACTTACAGATCTTCAACTACACGACAGCCACGTCCATCTTAAGAATCTGATAGTCGCTCAGAGCGTCAATATTTTTAGTATCCACTTAATTAGTCTGTCATATACGCCTACGTCTGCCAAGGGACCTCATCAGCCCTGGTTTTCCGACAAAACTTTTGTAAGCATTTCTCGTCTCACACACGTGTTCCCTCTCCCGTGCATCTTAATAAATTTTATCGCCGTAATCATATTTGATGCAGACTGCAATTAACAAAAAAGCTAATCAATCGATCGATCGATCACCTCTGGAATTTAAATTTGAATGATCGACACAGTTAACAAGTTCCCCATAGAATTATATCCTGAGCTACTTGAACCCAATCACATGACCACCATAATTTACTACTTCCCTTCCTTACGTTAGCCTGTTATCCAGTGCAGCAATGCTTCTGATAAAAGTTCAATTAAAACCATGGGAATTCTTTAAATATGTAACAGAAAAAAAATTGTTTTTGTAGGCGTAAGAACACGGAGTAACCAGAGGTATGATTCATGTCTCATGTTAATATCCTGACAGTCTAAAACAAACTTTGCTTTTGAAATTTACTTGTCGAAAATTTGTAACGCATACTAATGAAATCAAACAACACTTCATAGTAAGAAGGTCTTACGTTTCAATTTCGATAACAGATACAGCAATATATTCATATGCGAATTCTTATATAAATTAAACATGGCCCTCACTATTTATCGTTCAGACTGTATATATTTGCCACAGCATACATTCTAAACTTGGCACCTGAGTCGAACAAGAGAAGAAATGGCATTAAATATTCCAACCGAGTTCCACGGAGCAAAAGTCCTGTCTGAGAAGCAACGCAAAACGTCCCCCCCCCCTTTTCATGAAATCCATGAATCATTACCTTGTTGAAAAGACACCACTTGCCTCTATCCTATGCCAGACGAACCCATTTAACGTCCTTATATCCTACTTGATATCCATTTTAGTAATATACTCCCACTTACGCTTTCGATTCCAGGAAGGGAAAAGTTACCGTATCCAGATCAGCTCTGGGTCCTTACCAAATGGATGGTTGGAGCTATTTCTCCTACGACAGAGCGACCGGAGCGTAAAACCGATCACTCACCTCCATCCACTATCAAGATTAAGAACATTTGGAGCGTCATGTAGAATTGGACAACACCGATCATGCAGGCATGTATGTATGTGTAATGGAATAACACGTGTACCTTTCCGAGTCCAATCTTTCTTGAACACGAATCGACCAATCGGAGAGGATGGGCCAAGTCAATCGGTAACCTATCCCATTTCAGGCCACGTTCAATGTTGCGTGCTTAACCTAGTAGTGTTTAAGAGTGTGTAACTGTTACAAAGCTAACTAACGTATTAAATTTGATTTTAACTTTAGTTTCAATCTCTGAATTCGTTGTTTGCTGTATTCTCAGTCTCTAACAAGCAATTCAGTAAAATTTAGACATAATAATAAATCAACGAATTTGAAAAAATGATGTAGATCCACCTTAATAAATTCCATTATCACAGTTCGGCTTCCAACAGAAGATTGTAATATTAATAGGCCCTACTATAAATGGGCATGAGTATCACTTGCTACGTCGGTAAATGTTGGCTTTTAATTTATAGAGCCCTTGTCCATACTGGAGTCACCGGAACTTCGTTTCCTGGATTTACGTACCGAGTTTATTTTACTGATGTTCAGATACGTCTCTGGTAGTTATCGTCATGTTAGAATCCGTCAAATAAAATACTATATAGTACCTTTATTCACCGTTCATTTCCCCAGGCGTGCTACATGTTTCACCCGTTTTATTCTTCTTGATTTCAACAGTCTGATAACATTTTGTGGCTTTCAAATTCGAAGTTCCTCATTGCATGATTTCTTTAATTCTGTTACTTCGTCTATTTTAGGTCCAAATATTCTCCTCAGCACCTTGTTTTTAAACACTTCAGTAAAGGAGAGACCAGGTTTCACACCAAAACCGGACAAAAAATTAAATTATAATTCTTTAACGTTAATGTCATTCAGTGCGTTAATTCTTATGCCGTGTTTTCTAGCTTTATTGACACTGGAATAAGAAACTTATAAAAAAGAAAAGAAAAACGAAAATGCCTGCCTGGTACTCGGGCATGCAGCCGTCAGTAAGTCAGTGGTTGCCAGGTAGAGTATGTTATTGTGTACTTGCTGGGTTAGTAGAACTGTTTTCACTTTCACTGGCCCACTTGTCGGCTGGCTGGCTGGCTGGCTAGATCACGACCCGGGCGGGCGAGCGAGCGACACACTTATCATGATTATGATTATTCCATCATCCCAGCTGGCTGAGTTCTCCCTCATCCGCCCAGCGCCGTTGAAATACCGTTTGCACTACACTTCGTTGGGTCCCACTCAAAGATCAATTTACACTGCAGACTGACATTTTGCACAGTTTGAAATTTTTAACCCAAAAAGGATGGAGAAAAGTAAACAGGACAATGGAGAAGATTGGATAATGACCTGCAGATCTGTATGCTTCATAACATACTACAGGGAAGTCAATTCATGAGAGTATAAAGGGTGGGGCATGTAGAATGTAAGAAGTCCGGAATTCTGAAGGAAAGAAACCAGTTGGACCCACCTGCCGAATTAACTCCATGGGGCAGAGTCCTTCTTCAGAAACCTAGCTAGTCAAGATATTTCCTGCCTTTTACGTAACCCGAAGGTCGACTACTGTGTTCACAAGAGCCAGGCACTGATCCCTATCCTGAGCCAGATGAATCCAATCCACACCCTCAAAACATAAGACCAATTCTAACATTATCCTCTCATCTACGAGTAGGCCTTCGACCAATTTGCAGATCACAGAATTGCATAATATTCATTTTAAGGAAGTAGGTTATGAACGTGTGGAATGGGTTCAATTGGCCCATCATAGATTCCACTGGCAGGCTCTTCTGAATACGATAATGAACCTTCGGATTTCATACAAGGAGGGAAATGTCTTACCACCTGAGGAACTATCCAATTTTAAAGAAGGACGCTGCTCCAAGCAGTTAAATTGGTCGTGACCTGTATTTGTGCACAATTCTGATAATAGGTCCATACGCTCACACTATTTTAGAGGTGTCAGGTACAACGTTCAGGTTTTGTGCCATCACCGTGCTTGTAATTTTCAACAGACACAAAAATATAAAACTATTTTTGCATATGAGGGGATTCAGGAAGGGTTTCCTTTTCTGTTTTGGAAACAAATAATTTGCTAGAAACATTTCGCAACAGTTGGTTGCAATGAGCTTGTAAGAAAGAAGCCAAAACATGTTCTGAAACTGGTGTTTCGACATTGCAATTGCTTAATTGCCTTGCTCATTTTTTAACACAAGAGACGGTAAAATTCATTTTAATGCTTTCTTATCTGGAATGAGCACCAGCAAGTGTTATAATTCAAATTCGATATATCATATCAGCAAATTATTTCAGCTGAGTTGTAACCAAGTAAGGTCGCTTCCTATCGCACAACAATTTCTTCGGACGGTCGTAATTCAAAGAGGACAGCTCGTATCATGCAGCGTAATCGTAACTAAAAAGAACAAAACTACACATTTCAGAACGAACTTTTAAAACTCGAAGTCATAATTCAGGAACGGACCTTTCGTAACAGAATGGCATTAAAACGCTTGGCTGAACGTCTTTATGATTGTGTATACGTACTAGAAAGCACCAATTCTGTCCACTTCCGAGGCCTTTGCAAAACTTTCGTAACACAGAATATTTTACAGTCAAGGGTTTCTACCCTACACCTAATCCCACAAGCTGGTGGTTCTTTGGTCTTTTACCCTAAGGAGAGGGCACAGTTGTTTAACCTACGTTAACACCACCAGTTTTTACTCGCAGTCGTATTGGCCCATCATCACCGATGTGTAATGGCGGCCTTCTTACAAAGAATTACTTTAACAAAATCTTCTGGTGTTAAGGCAACTTAAACAATTATAAATTATACAGTGGAAAAGGAAGGACACGGAATAACTCAGTTTCGATTCTGACTAAGGTCTGGACGACGGCGGTCAACCCGTCAGGGGCATAGGAATTTTCTTCAGGTCTCTGGGCCCACGCAGCCTACTGTTCATTGGATACCAGGAACCCCTTTCGCAGGGGTAAAGCGCGGCCGAGGCGTCACGGATTCCACAATAACATATTTAAAATAATGAAAGTACTGCGTATGTGTGGTTCTGTTCCGGTAACAGCTCTCTCCCACCCCAGGGACCGACACTCCCTACCACTGTGTTGTTTATTTCGCCTCTCAAACATCGTGGATTCGGGTATACTGACGTTAAGGATGCATAAAGCGATCATTCACTCACTCACACATCTTCATAGGGTGGTGCTTAAGCACGAGTACAAACGTGTAACTTTTTACATTATCCTCTTACACGTGTAATATAAAAGGTTCTATCAATGCGAATATTTATACTAAGTTATGGTTATACAATAAACACTGACAAAGTCGCCTATATAATTTGTCCTCCATTAAGCCTTTTCTTTGCTGTATAATATGTTGTGTAATCCATTTCCTGACTTGATTAATGTTTGCAGATAACAATAATTCATACGTATCATACGTAAGTAATTCAAAGGGGGTGGATTCACTGAGAACTTTCTCTTGTTTCAGGTTGGCTTGACTAAACTGAGAAAATTTACCGGGTGAGTCACAGTTTAACAGTTTCGAACTTTGTAACATAGAGCTGTATATTTAAACCGAAGCTAAAAATGTACTCGTCAACAGTAGCAATGGAGCCCCGATTATAGTCATTAAGTTCGTTTAAGTTGATGCGACATTTGTAGGCGTTTCAATTTATTTTTGGGGTAAATCTGTCAGTATTTGTCAGTTTCATTCATCTCCGGACTTACGAACTTGACAGGACTTAAGTCACTACTAGAATTCTACGAAACTGTATGCTGTATATTCCTACTGTCAGTTTTCATTCGTCAGATCTTCAAAATCTCCAGTAATCTAATTGTCATGGAAACGACGACAAACATAACATTTATTTCTATGTGAGTAATTTTTCAGTCGGTCACCTGTCGACTTCCAAGGATCCAGTCACATCAGAACCCTGAAGATGGGGACAGTGTTTGTTCCCGAAACGTCGGTTTACTACGGTAACCAGTTATAGCGGTTGATTGCCCGAGAAGATTTTATTGGTAAGAACCTCAGTTTGTACAAATATTGTCTTTGTTCTTGTACTAAATTTCTGTGGTAGTAATCAGGTCTCTACTTGTCACGATACATTTACATAGTAAGCAATTCTCTGTAAGTGATTTACTCTGACACGATTTCAGGATCGGGATTTCTTCGGAATTCAACATTTGAACTATAAAGATAACAAACAAATACTTCAAGAAATCACATTGTTTGTGCTTGTCTACTTATCCCAGCAGCTGGTGAGACATACCTCATAGGGAGCAATTCGGTTTTCAGAGGTAACAGGCATCCACTACGCGCGTTAGGCCCGGAAATTTATAAAAGTAGCCATTAAAGAAGCCATGTGGATAATTACTTTCTACTATACTATTACTCTACTTTGTTTAACGAGTCAGTACATAGGCTAAACGAGCATGTACCACATTCACATTCCTTTCGGGAAGAACACAACCTAAGGGAGCAACAAATCACAAGACAGACATCTTGATGCTCACCGCCGTGAGAACCTTACTTCTCACCGAGACCACAAAAGGTCTTTAAAAACAAAGTACTGAGGATCACATCTCGACCTAAGAGAAAAAATATCGGGACGAATTTACCTTTCACCTTATTTCAAAACGGAACCATGGATCTATTATTTTCTGGAATCGAGTTCATGAGTTCTGGATGTGAGACACACGTGCAAACCACGTTCTTGTGCTGGTACTAAAGCGGCTTTTAAATCGGCGACATGAATAACGAACAGACGGTTGAAATGTTAGTAACATCATTCATCACATTCTTCATAATCATGTTTTCTCCTCAGTGCTAATAGTCTCACAGCATTACAACGCACCACAGAAATCGCCAAGTCAAGACAGCCGTTTGAAGCCGAAGCTTGTCTAGATAATACATTTAAAAATTCAGTCAGTATCTCAAAGCAAATAAAACGCGCCTCCATTACAAAAATCAACCGCTCAATTATGTCAAAGAGAATAATCGCTGTATGTTCTCAAAATCATACAAAACCCATAAATACACTAAATTACTTATCATTGAAGCAGGTGGTACATAATGAGCTGCCACTGGGTTTTAAAGGGTTCGGCTAGTTACGTATCATAAACAGCCACGCGGTGTAATAAAAGTCAACAAAATAAATTACTGCATAAGTTTTCAGTCTGAAGCAGACTGAGTGATCTGATAACGCCAGTTGGACTAACCACGCCCAAGCAGTGGCCACGCTCCGCACACAGCTGACTGAAAATTCTTATAACTCAGTCTGCAGTCCAGAAACTAGATTCACCTCTGAGATCGGGAACGGAACTGTCTCCATGGATCATAGTCCTTTTCAAGAAGCCGAAAGTCACTCACACAGTGAACTCAAGGTTCACTAGCCCCTTCCACAAGAGGTCGCCAACGATCTTTATTGTGAGGCAGACGAATCCAACCCACCACGCCCTCCTTATTTCCCTAAGATCCTCCCGTTTATTCCCAAGTATTCCGACTGGTCTCGCCCCACGGGACCTCCAACCAACATTTTCTACGCATTTCTCATTACCTCATGCGCGCCGCCTGCCCCACAAACCTCTTTCTCCTTGATTTTACCAACCTAATGATATTTGGTGAAGAGTGCAAACATGGAGCTCCCAATTACGCAATTCTGTCAGCCTCCTGTCATTCAATCCCTCTTAGGCCCAAATGTCTGATAAGCACCCGGTTTCAAACACATTAAATGTGTGTCCTTTCCTTAATGTTACAGACCTAAGTTTCACAAGCGTACAAAACAGCAAGCGAAATAAGTTTTGTTTACTTCAATCTTTTCATTTTAGATAGAAGGAGGGATCGATCAGTTCAGAATTTCGGAACGGGCAATTAGATCCCGAACCTTGAACAGGAAGAAGAAGATGGTGGCGGGAAGAGAAAACAACGAACTTCATGGCAACAAGCGTTTCCAGAATTTAATCTCATTTTAATTTCTTTGTGAGCGAACTTGTTATTTGTTAAAGTCGTTTATAAATATTCTAGTTATTTTAAATTCGCCACATATTCAAAGGATTCATTAGCTACTGTTACGTGTGTAGTGATTTGTCCCGTGTTGTGGATAGTCGATATGAACATATGATTCGTTTTCCACGCATTTCTTTTTAGGAAAATCTAAATCTGAGATAACAACGGAGTGCTGTTCTGACTTCAAAAAAGAAAAGAATGGCAATTTCATTTCGTTTAATTCAAATCTATGAGCGCCTCGATAACTACTCTAATCCACTTATCCATGTAGATCGTTTCTGTCTTCAGATCAGCGTAGAAGGTCAAGAAATTCCCCGACAATTACGCGGTCTTTAACCCAACATCCTACCATTCGACCCTAACCGAACCCAGCCACCGAATATGCTTCTCCTTTGACATAAACTGTAATATTACCTTCCTGTCTATTCTAGGCCTCCCTAGTAGCCTCTTTCCTGCAGCCATTCCAACTAAAATGGTTTATAAATTTATAATTCTTCTTGTTACGATCACCGTAATTCTATTAGGTGAAGAATACAAACGATATAACTCAGTATACGTAATGTTCTCCACCACCAGGATGATAAAAGCATTAAGTTCCTCTCAAACATTGGTCATTATCTATTCGAATACAAGGCGCTGCATCCCAAAAGCCATCTTCGGGATTTCCATTGTTTCGGAACAGTCGATGAGACGCAGTAGATGCGGGGCATAAAAAGTGCACGGTGGTGAAAGGCTTCATACTCTGTTCTTCTTACACAATACAGTTAAGGTTGTTAGCTCAAGAACCATGCACACGATATATAATTTGCATCGGGGATAGGAGACATACATACAACATTTTAGATGGAATCTGAAGGAAGTGTATGGCGTGAGAGACAAAGGCACAGATGAAATCAAAATACTGAGCTGGAACATCAAGACATAGATAGGAATTAGAGTTGAAACTCGATTCTCGCTCAGGACAAATTTCAGTAACGGACTTCAGGTTCCAGAAAAGGCAGAGAATTTCTTGACTAGATGAGAGACTATCAGCTTCCCAAGGCATGCAGATGGTCTCCTTCTCCGTATAGTACTTCCTCACAAACTGGTTTTCTCTCCTGAAGAGTAGAAGGCTAATGCAGTGGGCGCTGGGGCAATTTTCGTTCAAAATCTGAGATCGTGACCTGAATTTTCTGTTTATTCTACCGGTCTGATGAGGTTCGAATCGCAACGCATTAGTTCCACCACATCAACCATCAACTCCATCATCTCTGAGTTACGCAATTTTGCTACTCCTAATCCCTTACTCGTGGTTTTCCTCACCTGAAAAAGGCAAGGACACCTTCAACCGCCAATCCTGTCAACATCGCATTTACAGTAATCTCTGTGTTGCTCATTTGATGTCGCATGGCCTCAACAGTTGAACAGTGTCGCTAAAGAACAGCGTAACTAACGAAATTCACTACGCACAGTCTGTGAGATATCCTGATGATGGAGGCAGCATGCACTTTTGAAACGTCTGTAAACTTCTATCACACTACACGGCGCAACAGCCCAGAAGACAGTCATCTGTATTCCTCGCTGTGAGAACCTGACCCGTCTATCTTACGTTTCTTGATTTCATTGCCTAAGCCTAAGAACATCCGACATAACGAATGCAAATTATGAATATTAAGATTATGTAATTTTCTCCATCTCTCTGTTACATTCTCTCCCTTGTACTCAAATATGCTCCTCAACATATTTTTTTTAACTCCCTCATACTACGGTGAGACACAACGTTTCACGTTGTTAAGATTACAAATGTGACTTCGTAATTAGGAGCGTTATTCATTTTTTCCAAAGCGCTTATTAAAATGGCTTTGCTCGTCCGCGTGGGAGCATGTAATAACTTGGGAACAGAAGGACGGGTTTTTCGTAAAAAATCAGATTCGGGACAGTGGAAATATTTCAATAATGATCATTTTACACGAACGCCTACATGCACCCCTTCTATGAGTTAAACACCGGCTGTTCACGAAGGTCAAATAGTGACAAACGCGTTCACAACCTACTCAGAGCCTATAAATAGCCCCGTTTGTCTGTACACATGTAACAATAAGAACTCCTTCGAACCATTCTAGTTTTGGCCAAGATCTGACAGCAATAACCGACGTTGACATGCGTTTCAGTGAGTCACACAGAGTCAAATGTCAAATTCTGGCTATTCATAAAAGCCACAAGGTCAAATTCGGGTAACCAAAATAGAATTGTTGAATACTGACTTGTTACTGCCGTTCACAAGTATTTTAATTTTGCCATATTTTCGAAGGATTTAATGGGTTTCTTCGTATTCTTAAGTTGTCGTATATTCTGGTGACGAGAGAGAAATGATCTAAGAAAGAGACAAATTGGTAGACTTGCAAGAAGAAATAAAACGTTACTGAAAATTAAGGACAATGCAATTAAAAAAACGTCAGTGAAACCAGAAAAGGGACGAATTTAAGAAGTATATGGGGCAAACTGTCACTTTGTCAAAGGAGAACGTGTTTACACTTATAATACAGCAATAATTTTTATACGCGTTACATATGCCCAAAGGCTATTAAAATAAGTTTCGTTATATTCCATTCCAAACTGGAAATTGACATTATTCTGTCTTTGCATTCCCGTCTGAAAAGAAGAGTCGTTCAAAGTTCAAATAAAGACATTGATTTCTTAGCGTAAATTCAATAACACTATGTCACATTACAGAATTAACAAAGTTGACACAAAGACATAAGTATTTAGCATTTTAGACAGAAGAGATAAGCAAGAATTTGTGATGAGCAGTTCCGGGGAAAAAGTTACCCGACAAACCGACGTAAGAAACTTTACAATGAGGAAACAGAAAGATTTCATTGTTCTGCTTACAAGGTGCAGTGATTCGAAGAACAAATCACAGTCAAATATTATAAACGATTATATTAATTGTGACGATAACAACGCTGATAATTTTAACGAACCTTAATAGGCTAATGACGCTGTATTCATGTTTATGAAAAAAACAATAT